AGCTGGGACGCGGAGTGCCAGCAGGCCTTTGCAACCCTCAAGGACGCTCTGGCAACGACCCCTATTTTGATTCGACCGGACCCCTCGAAGCAGTTTATTCTCATCACGGCCGGAAGCTATTTCCGTTATTCTAGCGCAGAAGAGGAGGCCGAAGAGGAATCGGAAGGAGAATTGAGGAGAGAGGCCAGGGAAGCAACGGCTCGATTGGCCGAGGACGAGGAAAAAGAGCGCGAAGCAGAAGAAGAGTCGGCGGAAGCTGAAGAAGAAGAAGAAGAAGCAGAGGAGGAGACTTCGGAGGAAGAGGAAGAGGCCTATAGCGAGTACAGCGAGGGCGAGCAAAGTGAGGAGGAGGACGAAGACGACGAAGAAGTGGAAAGCAGGGACGACCAGGAGCCAACGCACGACGAGCTCGAGTGGGTGCCAGGACCAGATCGGCGAGAGGAGAACCCGGAGGCTGCTGCGCAGCGCAAGAAAGAGATCGCGGAAGGAAAGCGGTTGGCGATCGATCCCGCACCGAACGATCCTTTCAAGGATCCCGAGCCGCCCAAGCCGGAACATGGAGACCTTGCTGCCACGACCTCAGGAGCCGCGACGACAAGGCGCCGATCCCGATCCCGATCCACGTCCCCCTCCGCCTCCGCCCGTCCCCCAATTCGTCAACGTGTCAATGAGGGGCTTAGCCCTTCGTCCCCGATCCATATACCACCATCCCCTTAGCTATCTCTCTTTCAATCAGTATTTCCATTGCGTCGTCTACCCCCGTAATCCCTTCCCCATCCCCACCTTCCGACATTTCTACTCTGCCCGCCTAGAACTGACTGTCCACCTCCACCCTTTCGTTCGGTGTGCTGTCCCAGACTACTCCCTCCACGTTCTGCTCCTTAGCGCCGCGTGGCGAGGCCGTAACCATATAGAGGTTTACTACATCGTTACGGGGACCTTCCCCGCGTGCGAGAACCATGATCGGTTTCGCACAGACGTCCTCCGAACCCTCGTATCCCTTTACCCAGACTACCTCGCTTCCCTTCCCCGCAGCGGCCAAAGATTCCCCCGCTTCCATCGCATTGTCCGTTTTCAAGAACTTCCCTACGACCTCACTGCGATCGGGCGCTTCATACCCGAGCTTACGATGGAGCCGCCCCGCCCTCCCTCATACGCGTATCGCCTTCCCTTCCCCCTTCCTGTTAATTACTGATGCAGCGGTAATGGACGCGTGTCGCGGAGACGGCACGAGAAAGATCCCGTCCTTGGATCGTCAAAGAGCCCAATCTGAGGAACTAGTAGAAGAGCAGAGTTGCCACGTTGGATGACATCCACACGCAATCGAACGGTAAGTGGCACACAAAGAATTGCTCAGCGTGTCGATCAATTAGAGAAATCGACATGTGTCAACAAGCAAGCAAGAGCTTGCTAATATTGGAACCCCCTGGGCGTCACATATGTGACGAACCACTTTTTGTAACGCGCGATTTTCTGCGCGGTTGCAATGAGGGGTCCTAAGCTGGGAAGATTGGGCCAATTACGGGAGATCGGGATCGGTGGAGAATTGCATCAGTGTCCTTGCTTTTTCGTCCTTTTTCGTCGTTTCCTTTTCGAATGGCGGGGCACGGGGTCAGATGTATTTTGGGACGGCGAGTTGATTGATTGGTCGGATGGTTGTCTCGCGCAACGCCACGCGCGCGCGTGATTAATAAATGTTGACGTTGTTTCTTTTGGTTCGGTTTTCGATCTTTTGGGCGTGGACATCGCGCGGGAGATTGCTTCGTTCTTTTTTTTGAAATTCCTCTTGAATCTTTTTCGAATTTTGTCGAGCCCCCAATGGCTCTCAGAATTTTGGACTTTCCTTCTGGAATTCGTGCTTTTTGCTTTTTCGCATTAAATAGGAATTTAGGAATTCAGTAATTAGGATTTTTCCTGTCGTGCGGCGCCTTTTGTTTACGCGCTTCTTCATGCGGCTGCAACGGTACTCTGATT